CAATTTTCGAGATTCGACCCTTCTTGACCAACTTTGGTGGAAAATCTACCGGTCCCAAACTAGTTGCGGTCAATACTTCCCGATACAGGGCACGAAAGAGTAGGGTCTTAAGAATACTAGGGCGTCGAGGGAAGCCTTTTACGGCAACTAGATAGGACACAGTGGCCGCCCAAAGTCAGCAAAATCAGCCAATTTTCGAGATTCGACCACTTTTTGACCAACTTGGTCGGAAAATCGTTGCGGTCAAAGCCAAAATCGTTGTGGTCAACATCTTCCCGATACAGGGCACGAAAGAGTAGGGTCTTAAGAATACTAGGGCGTCGAGGGAAGCCTTTTACGGCAACTAGATTGGACACAGTGGCCGCCCAAAGTCAGCAAAATCAGCCAATTTTCGAGATTCGACACTTTTTGACCAACTTGGTCGGAAAATCGTTGCGGTCAAAGCCAAAATCGTTGTGGTCAACGTCTTCCCGATACAGGGCACGAAAGAGTAGGGTCTTAAGAATACTAGGACGTCGAGGGAGGCCGTTGGCCGCAATTAGATCGGACGCAGTGGCCCAAAATCAGCGAAAACGGCTACTTTCGTCCTAGAACTCATCTTTGACCAACTTTGTGACGTTACTGGCCCCAAACCCGAAAGGCCCCGGCAGATTTTGCTGCCTGTCTGCCCTGGCCAGTCCGAGCCTGGTCTGCCAGCACGCGCGCGCACACACAGACACCGAGCCCCGACGCGGCCGCGCGCGGCGCCTCTAGTGCCCCGCAGCACAGCCGCACGGCGCCGGGCTGTCTCGCAGCTAGACACGTTCGGGTCCCCGTTCCCCGTTCCGTGGCGGCGTGGCGGCGCGGTCGGGGCCCGGTTCCGCCAACCCCCCACGGCGTGCCTCGACCGGCCGAGCCCCGCGCCGCGCCGCGCCATGCCGCCATGCCGCGGGCTGTGAACGTCCTTGGCGCTTTCGCGAGCCGGGCCCTGGGCGGACCGCGGCGCGGGGCGGCGCGGGGCGGGGACGAGGAACATGACGACGCCCGGATCCCGAGCCGACGGGACGGGCCGACGGGCCGACGAACCGAGCCACACCAGCAGCGCGGAGGCAAGCGGGAACGGAACGGCAGCCTGGTCCGGCAAATTAGAGCGACCGCACCGCGCATCGCCCTGGAGCCGACGGCCGACGGTGGAGTGGAGCCAGCCGCCGTGTCCCTGGCGTCCCTGACCCAGGCAAACCGCGACGCGGGCCGCGCGACGCCGCGACGCCCTGGGCGCCACACGCACCACGCCGCGGCACGGCACGGCAAGGCACGCCTCGCGGACCGAGAGACTGAGAGACCAAAATAGCGCCAGGATGTAACGTCTGGCTAGCGTCTGCCCGGACCGCCTCGCCTTCGCGCCGCGCGGGACGCGTCCTGGCGGTGGAGCACGAGGTGGAGCACGAGGTGGAGCACGAGGTGGAGCACGAGGTGGAGCACGAGGTGGAGCACGAGGTGGAGTACGAGGTGGAGCACGAGGTGGAGCACGAGGTGGAGCACGAGGTGGAGCACGAGGTGGAGCACGAGGTGGAGCACGAGGTGGAGCACGAGGTGGAGCACGAGGTGGAGCACGAGGTGGAGCACGAGGTGGAGCACGAGGTGGCCCCCGCGGCCTTTTGCACAGGCGGGGTGGTGTCCAAAACAACAGCACTGTGTGTGTGTGTGTGTGTGTGTGCTGTTCATCGCGACGTGGACAAGCAAACAACAATTTTTCCTCCCCCCATGCAGTCAGCGGCCTCTTCACATGTGCGTCGCTACGTCCGCTTCGTCGGCAACATTTTCGCCCGCCGTCCATTCACAAGGGGCGGCCAAGTCTGGGCGCCAGCATCCTAAGCATCCGCAGCATCCGCGATATGTGCCGCACACACACACACACACACACACACACTCACACACACCCTTTCTGCGTCAGTACGTATCGCCGCCACGCCCCCTCTGGCGTCACGGCCTCACAGGGCGAAAGTGAGTCAGTACACGTGTTTTACGATACGCAGCCACTCCCACGCCCCGCCACTGGCCGGCGGCGGTGATGTCAATGTCCGCTGATAAGAATAACCCACGCACGGCGGCGGCGCGGCGGCCCTGCGCGGCTAGGCGGCGCCTCTCCGAGTGTCCGCCACACTGGGGGGCGACGTCGACGTCACAAACGGCCAATCGGGGCGGGGAGCGGCTGGCGCGGCTCGTCCCCCCGAGGCGAGGGAAAAAAAAAAAGAATCGCGCAGAGATTCCGGCGCGGCGGTGCTTTCACCCGCGCTAAAAAAAAGGAAAGAGACTAAGGTCAAAACAGCAGTAAAGAAACTAGACAATACAAAAAGCGCGCCTTGCAGAGAGCAAGCGAGAGAGACAGAGAGAGAAGGTCCGAGTCGAGTTTCGATTAGCAGGGGGTAGTAGAAGGAGAAGGGCATCACGGAGACCGCCATAAAAAGGCTTCCCGGTCTCGCTGCGCCGCGCCACGACGGCGGCCACGACGGCGGCCACGACGGCGGCCACGCCCGGGGCGCCTTCCCCGGCCTCCCCCCTCTCGCAGCAGTGCCTCATCCCGGGGCGACAAAGTCTGCCGCGTGCCGCGCCTGCCAAACGCCGCGAGGAGGGGATTCCCGGCCCCCCCCCAGTGCGGCCCCACCCGAGAGCGAAAAACTGCCGAGTGGTTGTCATCCCAAACGCCGGAGGGGGGAATTGCCTTGTGAACGAGAGCGGCGCATTTGGGGGTTTTTCCAATACGCCCTCGGGAGTTTTCCGGTCGGGCGCTCCGGCCCGAGTCCCGGGCCGGATGCCCCCACCCCCCCTGGAGGCTGACACGGCGTCCCGGTGCCGTCCCCCAACGCCCCTTTTACTCGTCATTTGTCTTGTTTAATGGGTCAGGCCCGCCGCCGTCCCCGCCGTGCCCGTCGTGGCGGCGGAGGCCGTGTCGGCGCACGACATCGGGCGCGGCGGAAAGGCCGGCAAAGCGCGCCGCCCTCTTCGAGAGGCCACTGGTCACCGAGTCCGGGCCGCGGCGCGACACCGCGTCACACGGTCACATCAAGAGCGCCGCCGGCCGCCGCCGCAGCGTCCCTCAGTCCCTTGGCGCCGACCCCGGACGGGACGGGTGGCACTCACGCCATGAAGCGGCCGAAGAGGGAGAAGAAGGAGAAGAAGGAGGAGAAAGACAAGAAGGAGAAGGAAAACGACAAGATGTGACGAGAAACGAAAAAATTGCACCGACGCCGCGTCGTCGCCCTTTCGCCCACCTTCGTCCCTTCGGTCCTTCGGTCGTCCGCAGAGCCCGGCAGAGCCAAAGCAGCGAGGCAGCGTCGAGCAATGCCACCTCACCTTCTTATTTTTACGGCGTGTACTACCTGTTAATGTGCTCCACGCCACTCCGCGCGTCCTTACCGAAATAAAGAAATGCAACGCACTAAAAGTTTCATGACAGTCCCTGCAGCAGGGGCCGCCGGGGACCGCCGGGGGCACGGCGGCGTCGCTGAACCGCATTGCAGGACGGGGCGGGGCGGGTCGCGGCCCTCTGGGGGGCGGGGGGGTCGCGGCGGGGCGGGGCGGGCGGGCGGGGCGGGTCGCGGCCCTGGTCGCGCGGCGGGGCGCGGCGAATCCAGCCTCCTTCCTCGTTCCCACAGCCAGCTCGCGCAAAATGTCAGGGAAGTAAACGCTACCTCGTAGTGTAGGAATGAATGGCACCGGGCGGCGCTGCAGCGCTCGTCAACCGAGAGGGGAAGGGCACAGCTCGGCAACGCAATCACAGAGGAAGACGATGTAATTACGATAAAAAGAAAGCCAAATTTTGATAGAGAAACTAAACCACCCCCGCGGGGCCCCGCCCGTCCCTCTCGCACTCACGGCGCGTCGCGTGAAGGGGTGCGAGGTGCTAGACAGAGCGACCAGGAACGGGCCTGCCGCCTTGCCTGCCGCTGCCGAGTCAAAGCCGCCCGCACTGCGCGCTTCAGCAACGCTAGCGGCGCGTCGCTGTTGCAGTAAATTCTGTAACAAGTGGCCCTGCACCCTGCACTGTAAGCCCCGAGCCCTACTCCGGCAGAGGAATGCGTCGACACTGTAGCGACGTTCACAGCGCAGGGCCGCCAGGCTAGCCATGCTCGGGCCGGCGCAGGTGGCCCCAGAGACGTGCCTGCGCCAAGAGCACAGGGCTCAGGTGGCTCAGGGGCCGGCCGCCCTCGGGGCCCTATCCCGGGCACGCTCGCCGCCGCCGCGCCGCCGGCCCCGACTCCCCGACCAGAAGGGCGATTCAGAAGCGCCCCGTCGCCCCGTCTCTGTCGCCCCGGTGGGCCACTCCGAGAGGGTGCGAGAGAGCGACCAGCCGCCCTTTCTGAACCACGCACTCCGCCGGCCTCCGCCGCGCAGCGAGAGGACCCACCGCGGACGAAAAAGAGAGAGAGAGAGAGAGAGAGAGAGAGGGGGAAAAGAGGGAAGAGAGAGGAGAGAGAAGAGAGAGAGAGAGAGAGAGAGAGAGAGAGAGAGAGAGAGAGAGAGAGAGAAGGGAGGCACTGTTACAACCCCGCCGACAAAAAACAACAACCGCCAAGGGGGCGGCAGTATCAAGGATGACGGTGAAGAATTTCCGCGGAGCCGCGTGGTGCTTGCGTACACTGTACGGCGCGCACCCCGCGAGCCGACGGGGCTGACGGGGCCGCTGGGGCCGCCACGCCGGGATGTGCCTCCAACTGCGGGGGACGGATCATGCGCTTCCAAGAAGGGGCGCGGCGGCCCGGGCCAGCCGAAGCAGGTCGTCTTCCTCTCTCCCTCTCTCTACCAAGTTGACCCCTGCATCGCCACTGGCGGCGCGCAAACGCCGCCAGGCCGCCACACGCACGCGCGGAGCCTTCCGCGTACCCCGGGGGCGCGCGCGCACACACACACACACGCACACACACACACACACACACACACACACACACACACACACACAGCCGGTGGTGAATCACCCCCGCGCGCCATTCACATTTTCTCGCTGCGTCTCGCACTCTTACCTGCGCAGCGGCGGGTCGGGGTCGACGAGGTGGAAGTCGTTCTCGCTGCAGACTTCCCGGTCGCGGTGGTGCACGGCGCACTTGAAGGAGCGCGAGCGCTTGCCGCTCATCTGCAACAAAAACAACAACAAAGGCCCGTCAGCCGAAGAAGCATCTCGAGGGGAGGTTTCGCAGTGGCCTTGCGGCGGACTCCCAGTGATAACACGAAATCGCTACCGTGCCGAGAGGCCGAGGGGGGAGTTCAAGGTTTCCGCCGCCCGGAACACACACTGGCCTAGATGTCTCCCGGACGGCCCGCAGTAGGGCGCCGCGACGGGCCGTGCCAGCCTCGCGGCCCCGAGGGGCTTGGCGGGGCCGGCGGGGCCGACGGGGCACTCCGGGGTCGGGGGCAAGGCGCTCTCGTTTGTCACCGGGCGGCGCAACGGGGGCGCCTCGCCGTCGCGGGTCGCGGGGGGTGGCGACGACGGCCGCCGGCGGGGAGGGGGCACATCGGCCTCGCGCCCGCCGCGCCCCGCGAGGGCAGAAGCCGCATGTCGCCGCCATGTCCTCCACACACGGCGGCGAGGCAGCCCAGCCCGCCAGCCGGCCAGGAAAACGGGGTTGCACCAAAGGAGCGTGCGGGCACGCCACATCAGGTGCATACACACACACACACACACACACACACACACACACACACACACACACACACACACACACAACACACAGAGAGAGAGAGAGAGAGAGGAGAGAGGAGAGAGAGAGAGAGCGACGAGGTCGTATAACGCGAGTAGTGAGCGAGTTGCACGACCATACAACGACCAAGTCGACGACAATCGGCGCAAAATGAAAGAGTGTGCCGCAAATAAACCTGTGTGTGTGTGTGTGTGTGAGCAAGCTTTACGGGGAAAGGGAGCCGAGCGGGTGGCGGGCGGGCGGCATGCAAACTGCGGCCTCTGCGGCGCGGACGTGCTCCAGCGCGGTGGTCGCGTATTGCACCGCGTAGTATGGGCCATTGCAGCCATTGCAGCCATGGCACGACGGCACTTTTATTTTTACCTTTTTTTTCCCCTCCCCTTTACGAGCTGCTGCTTCTGTAGCGCAAGACACAAAGTGCTACACCCACCACACACACACACACCGACGTGACTTGCTGTATGCAAATGTGGTCTAGCCATTTTATTTTGTCATTTCACTGTTGTTGTTTTTTTTCTTTAAAGTCGATTTTGACGCATGGAACTAAGTTTTCCGTTTTCCGCGCAAACGGTACACATGCGGCGTGACTCGACGCGGGCGTGTCGGCGTGTCCGGGGCAGGTCAGTGACGGTGTCAGTGACGGTGTCAGTGACGGTGAGCACAGCGTGGACGCACGCACTCGCTCCCTCGCTCACTCACTTCCATGAAACTGTCATCGCCGTGGCCCACATCCGCCGCGGGGCCGCGGGGCCCTCTCACCCCGGCAGGCACTGCAGGCACTGCTGCAGGCAGTCCCACGGCGAAACGCCACAGAGCCGCCTCGGAAAAACATAATCAATTTCCCTCTCAATTCCTCCGCCTGCGAAGAAAAAGAGGGAAAAGAAAAACAAAGGCGCACTGCACTGCAGGTGCACTGCAAACCACGCCGTGAGCCCCATTCCGGGCCCTCCGCCACCGAAACAAGTGGCAGGCGTGTGTTTTTGTCGCTCCGTCTCTCTCGCACTCGCGGGGCGTCCCGTAGGGGTGCGACAGAGAGAGACGGAGCGACAAAACACTGAAGCGTGTCACACTTTGTCGCCTCGGCAGAGAAAGCCGAGTGTCGGTGCGTAGTATTGACCCCGCCCCGCTGCGCCCCGCTAGGGTCACACGGGGCACGTTTGCACCGAGGTGGCAAAACGGCTACATCGCAGTCGCGCCGATGCCGCTCAAAGAAGAGCCATGCGACCTTTACACTATTTTATTTTTAAATTTCCGTAACGGAGAAACGTGGTGCGTGGCCAGACCGGGCGCGCGCGGCGGGGCCGCCGCCTCCGGGACACATGCACTGCATGCCCTGGGCGGCGTGCCCCGCCCTGGAGGAGTCAGATTCCAGGCTTGCCGGCCTCCAGGGCTCCAGGCTTCCAGCCAAGTCGCACATTACTGGCATTCCCGTCGCCTCGCGCACGCTCCCGTACAATGTTAAATCAACACCCTCCGCCTGCCGGTCTGTCCGTCTGTCCGCCGCCAGAAACGCCGTCCGCAGCGTAACGATAGCGCCACCGTGCCACGCCGCGCCACGCCGTGCCACGCCGCGCCACGCGGCCGAGTAGCCAGAGGTGTCATTCCGCGCAACGGTTTTGGCGCCGTCTCTCTCGCACCCACACGGACCGCCCCGCGAGTGCGAGAGAGACAGAGAGGCGCTTTTCGGAATCAGCCTGCCGCCCGGATGGACACAACGGCAAAAGTCGCACCGTCGCCGGGCAGCGCGGCGCGCGCGGCGCTCGGACGATGGGCCAGGCTGGGCCGCATGGCCATAGGCCGTGCCAGTCAGACAAAGGAATGCTTTCCCCGCACCACAAATAGAGAGAGCGGAAGAAGGCGACGTCACACACACACACACACACACACACACACACGCACGCACGCACGCACGCCCGGGTATCGACAATACCTTTTGCCGTCAATGCTGGGCAATGCGCACTGCACACGCAACCTGCGTACGCCTCGCCTCACCTCCCTGACAGCGACAGCGCGGCCCGCGCGGCCCCGCCGAGGGCCCGCCCGCCCCGTCTCGCCCCGCCTCGCCCCGCCTCGCCTCGCCCCGCCTCGCCCCGCCTCGCCCCGCCTCGCCCTCCCCTGCACTAACCAGCCCGCCCACACACACTACGCACATCCTGCGGCCCGCGGACAGGCGGCCCGGCCCGGCCTGTGGCACCGATGTAGCACCGCGCCGTCCCGCGAGTAGAGTCTCTCCGGTCGCGGCCTCGTTCGGCGCCAACGTCCAACGGCGGGCACCTCGGCACCGCGCGGCAGTGGCGTAGCACCAGACTCATCCCGATTCACCGCCGTCTCTCTCGCACCTGACGCGGACCGCGCCATGAGCGCGAGAGAGAGACAGCGCGATGTATACGGGATGGCCCCGCAGCGCGGGGCGGCGGCGGCGGCAAGGGTACGCCCTGGACGGCCTGGACGGCGGGCCGCCGCGCCGTTCCCCGAATCGCCTGCCAATATCTTTGCGGACGAAGCCGAACATTATATGAGTCGGCCAGGGCGTCCCGGGCGGCTCGGCCCGGCCAGCCTGGATGCCGCCTGGATCTCGCCTGGATCGCCTTGGGGACCCCCAAGTCCCGAAGACGCCCTCGGGGGGCACCCCCCCCCCTTCCCCGCGGGGCCGCGGACCCTGGCCGGCGGACATTCCTCGGGGCCTGCTTCGCCTGCTCGGCCTGCTGCTGGAACAGGCGGCCGCCACCGTGACGGGGTATGGGGGCACCGTGGGGCCGCGGGGGCCCGGCGTGGCCCCAACAGTTTGCAAACGTGTGGGGCTTACGTAAAGAGCTGGTCAGACCGTCTCTGCCCGGCCCCGCCCGGCCCGTCCGCCCAGAGCGGCAGGGCCCCCCAGCGGCAGAGGCCGCCCCGCCCCGCCTTCAAACAGGGGCACAGCCACTTGCATCTGTACGACAATTTACAACAAGGATGCAGGCGGGCGGGCGAGGGGGGAGGCAGAAGAGAAAGGCGATCTTGATGAGCCTGACGGCGAAGGGGCCCGGGGCCGCTTCCCTGCGCCTCAACGTCGTCGTGCGCCTCCAGGTCCACGCCGAGAGCTAGGCGCCGCGAGGAGCGCCGCCCGGCAGGTTAGGCAGCCCACTGCCGCCGCGCGGGTCGACGTGGGAACGAGGCGGCCGGGCAAGGCGGGCGGGCGTGGCGGGCGTGGCGGGCGTGGCGCGGCGCGAGGCGAAGCGCGCACCGCGACCACGCCCTGGCTGCACAGTGCCCTGCTGTCTGCCGTGCCGGCCGTGCCGGTATAAAGGGGTCCAGACTTTGGGCGAGGCTGGACTGGGAAACTGGATCCCGGAGCGAGGACCACATTCCGAGAGTAAAGAGTCCCAAATGTCCCAAAGGGTCCCAAGGGGTCCCAAGGGGTCCGAAAGGGCCTCAAAACAATGAGCAATGACGCCCAGCACCGCCAGGCCAAGCACCGCCACCGCCACCGCCGCTGCAGCTGGGACTGGGAGCTGGCGGCCTGCCTGCCCGCCCGGCTGGCTGCCCCCCGCAACGCGGACCGCTTTGGGAATGTCGATCGGAAAGCAATAATCCAATGGGCCATACGTATACTGCGGACTGCGGCGACATGGCCGGGCGGTAACACGCCGGCGTGTCTCCTTGTCCCCGCCGTCCCGGCCGTCCCCGCCGCGCCGCGGCAATGTCGGTACGCCGGAGAGTCCCCGAGACTATTTAATTCTCGTGTGAAATATGGCGATACGGCCGTTTTAATCCGCCCACTTGTAATGATTTATCAGGAAGGTTGGCCCGGGCGGTGCTGGCCGTGCTGGCCGTGTGCGTGTCCCCCGTGTCCCCGGACCGTGCTCTGCTTTGTCGCCGTCTGCCCGTCTGCCTGCCGCCTGCCCGTCCGCCCTGCCCTCACCTCGCTAATGCAAGCCAGCCGAGACAAAGACGCCTTGCCTTGCCTCGCCCGCGGTGCGAGCCGAGCGGTGCCCGCCGTGCCCGCCTCCACCACCGAGGGCAGTAAGGACGAGCCCTCGCGGAGCGGACCCGACCGGCCGGGCCGTCCGGGCCCCGCCTCGACTGATTGGGGCCCAAACATCATTTCCCATTCCCACGGAGTGCGGGTGGCACACGACGGCCACGACGGCGGCGACGTCGGCGACCTCGCGCGCGACAACCCGGGCCCCGGGTCCCAGGTCCGCCTCCCCTACCCTGCCGTCGATATCTCAATATCACGGCCCCGGGGCCCTGGGGGGCGGGGGTGGCCGGCGTGGCGGACCCTCCGACGCGGTGCTACTATCCCACAGTCCAGGGATCCCCTCGATTGGCCCACCACCACCGCCCAACGGGGTGCGTCCCAGACGAACGTCCAGCGGGAATATTTCGTCTTCCGAGCGAGCAAGAAGAAAATACTCCGTCTTTATTTTGAGCGCGGAGGTCGTGAGCGGTCCGT